CTGGACTTGTTGAAATCCGAGAAATGGCTAACTGTTGTCTGGTTGGCTGCAAATTTCAGCGAACTTCGAAGTACTTCGACCAATGAATTTTGGCTGTGATCAGAAATTCGAAGCACAAGTTGTCCCTTAAAATCTGTCGTTGACTGTAATTGATTGATAAACAGGCTCAGACCAATACAATATACCACTCTGTTTGGCATTAAATGCAGACGAATATTCAAGGCCATACAAAATACAAGTATGACGAATCTGTATTTAAAAAGATTAGACCGCAATGATGTTGACAAGCCCACTCAATTCGTCCAGACGGCTCTCTTCTTCAATTCGCCGGTCCAACTGCTCCAAGGTAGCCATGTCGTCATCTTTGTCTTTACTTTGAGGGATCTTGTAACCGTTGTTACCAATCGCTTCGACGACGGCTTGAATGACGCGCTGCAGGTACCGAACGTCTTTCCCAACGTTTTCGGAGACAAGTCGTGGTAGGACTTCTCCACAGCATGCACCAGGCCATCAATCGTCTGACATTCCATGGTCTGTTGCACTTGAATTAAGTTGAAAAAGCCCAAATCTAACACATTTAGATCTGGGCTTTGTGCAGGTTGGTTTCGGATTTGAATTGAAAACGATGGGTTCTGAGCAGCCAGATTCACTGCAGGGTCATCGGTGGCAACGTGGACACGAGCATTGTCCTGTTGCAGATAGACAATGCCAACGTTGTCATCGGTAAGCCAACGCCATTTAGTCTTGATCGCTGGAATAACATTGTCGACAAGGAAAGATAGGTACACAAGCTTGGTGACGTTCACTGTTGTGGTGACGATTGTGCCAACAGGTCGGTTCACGCTGGTTCGTTGGGCTGGACAACGTGACACGTAGGGCCAGCAGCCAAGTTTCCCATCCCATCCATTTCTCGGCCGAGAAACGGCAGCGAGGAACACCAATTTTGTGATGCGGCTCTTCGATTGGACGTGCAGTGGCGGGTTCTCTTCGTCGCACCAAAGGTAGAAGAGCCGGCGCAGCTTGGTAATGTAACACCATTTTTCATCTATGTGCACGACATTGTACAACTCATTGTCATTATGCTTACTGTAGTCATGCATGATCATTGTGCAGAAGTTCAAGCGCCGTTGCTTGTGCTCCGGTGTCAGCTTGGGCTTGGTCCAGTTGGACCGTCGTGTGACCCACTTGTTTTGAATGAATTCCAGATCGTCCACGTGGAAACGCCAATTGCCGCTGCCAATGCACGGTACGTCTGTCGTTGGGCTAAAGGTGTCGCTTTGATTCGTTGCTGAATCTCTGACACAGTGTAGGTTTTCGGGCAGCGTTGGCAATTCGTGACTTCACGTTGGCGCTGCGGCCAGGTAGTGTCGATTCTCGGCCGCGTTGCCAGATCTTTGACACAGTCGACGAGTGCACACCAAAGGTGGTTGCAACTGATGCAATGGCCGCACGTGACAGTTTCCCATTTACACTAACCAGGAGTAGCTCTTTATATAGCGCACCACTCTGGTCATCAGTCAGATTTGACTTGGATTTTGTATGAGTTGTTTGCATCGACCTCACGTTGGCAGTTTTGCAAATAAAATGGATAAAAAATATGTCGTATGGATCGCAATGTGCTTCGATTAGCCACTCAATTTAAGGCCAATCCGAGCAGGGCAAGATGACAAATTCGACTTGTCTGCAATAATTGCCAAACAGAGTGGTACAATACAATATTGATGCGGTCTTGAGTCAGAACGACCTGGATCATCTCAAGTACTACAGCCATTGCATGTCTTGGTGCACACCAGGTACAACAGAACGATACCGAAGATAGCCCACATTTTTCGTTCCAGCGCGATGGCCATTGCGTTCAATGGGCGTTAAAGCAAGACCCGACACTTCTTTCCGCACTGATGAACCCCTTCCTTGATCAAGGATGCTGTATCCGGGCACAGGCAGAGGAAGGAGTAGGTAATATGAAGATTGATATGGCAGGGTTATGTTATCTAGCTCTGCTACATTAACATGGAAGTTAGGGCGACTCGTGGGTAGAGTCGCTAGCAACCCAGACGACTTGTTGCGACGTCGCCTGCAACCTTTGAATGGTCGACTTCAATGAAGATCTTTGACAAGTATCCAGATAACAGTACAGTAGAACTTGTTACAGATGTGGCTAGGCGACGGGCGCGAGTGATCCGCGTGCAGACAGACGTGAACATGACTTGAGCTCCCCTTCTTCCATCACCCCAACCCTGTGGTCAAACCCGATAATTGTCCACAGCCGGTCATGTTATCTCTTCTACTACCTCTGTCCGAAAAAGATTGCAACAATTGAAAATATTGAAGTTCATGAATGATTGCAACAATACAAATTTTAAAAGTATCACATTGCAATACGGACAAATAAATATTCAAAGCAAGTTGCTCAAGGCCAAAAGCTGGGCCAATTCAACACCAGATTCCTCTTGAAGGCACGTCGCTAACAATGAGTTTTTCCAGCTGGGAGCTAAAATCACACATCTCCAGGGCTTCAGACACTTCTGCTACCAGTTCCTCGGACTTTGCACTAACGTCAGTCTCACCCAACTGCTGGAGTCCTGCTTCAACGATGTCACGATCGACAGGGAACAATTGTGGCAACAATCCACGTGCCAACACCTTTGCCTCGCCAGAGTGGGGGATCTTGTAGTCGTTGCTTCCTTGCACACAGATGGCTTCGCGCATGCAGGACCTGTAGGGTCAGAATATTGTTGGTCAATGTTTGCATGTCCACATCAGCCCAAGCACGCTCCGTCGCGGCAATAATGTCGTCGATGCATCGCGACGTGTTCCTCCTTTGCAAGGATTGAATCGCTCGGAAAAATCCAAGGTCGAAAACGGACTTGGGAGGTTGTCATTTGACTTCGATGGACCAACCATCGCTACAACAGGCTGCAACAATTTCCTCATCACTTGTGCTGCATTCTGATGGCCATTTGGCTTTGATAGCGGGGATCACCTTCTCCAAGAGCATGGCTTTGTACACTGGGCGGGTGACACTGACAGGTACAGTCTGCATTGCACCAGCAGGACGGTTCCGGCTCGACCTCGCCGCAGGAACTTGAACTGTAAAGTGCCAGGTGCAGACCTTTCCGTCAAACCAAGAATTGGTCTCTTCAATCCACCGTGGGCGGGCGACAGCAGACAGGAACATCACCTTGGTGATAAAGAGCTTGGACTTTCACGTGCGATGTGGCGGTTCCTCGCCAGGAGCAAGATAGAATGACCGTTTGACTCGCTTGCGTAGAGCCACTTCTCGTCCACATGAACATAGTTCATCATGTCGTCGAAAGCATATTCGTTTCCCGAGGTGGCGTGATGTGTCCCATTGCCCAGCATGTATGAGCGACTTTGTTGGCGTCTGTTAGTGTTGGGAGCACGGAGCTTGTGTACTTCACAAATATGCCTCGTCAGTAGTAAGCATGGAGGCT